CTCTCAGACACACCCACGAATGATCAAGGAAATGTTTACTCTGAATTCCAAGAGAAACTTACTCGGGATGAGGCAAGGTGGTACGAAACTGGTATCCCCTGGCGAGGAGATCATCCAGTTCTACCGAACAACAGAGAAGGAAGCTTGCGACGACTCTCAAGTTTACACAGAAAGCTCAAACGCCAGAATCTGAAAACTAGATATGAAGAGATCATTGAAGAACAAAAGGAGGCAGGCGTAGTGGAGAAAGTAGAGGGGACTAGTGTTGGTGGTCGAGAATTCTACATACCGCACAAGCCGGTTTTTCGAGTCACCGCAGAGTCAACAAAATTGCGAATAGTCTACGACGCATCTGCGAGAGCTTTCGATGGTGCTCCTTCTCTGAATGATTGTTCGCATGCAGGCCCGCCCCTTCAAAACAAACTTTGGAGTGTTCTAGTCAGAGGACGTTTTAACCCTGTGGCCGTTACTGGCGATCTCCAGAAGGCATTTCTTCAAGTAAGAATTAGAGAAGCTGACCGTGATGCAATGCGTTTCCACTGACGTCGAGACGAACAGTCACCTTTAACGACTTTGCGACTCACCAGAGCGCTTTTTGGAGTCACCTCATCTCCCTTTCTTCTTGGGGGAGTTATTGAGGCACACCTTTGCAATTGGGAGGAAAAAGAGCCGGAAGTAGTGAAAAAGATTCGCAAAGAGCTTTACGTCGATGACTTGATCTCGGGAGCAATCACAGTGTGCAAGGCCAGAGAAGTCAAAGACAAAGCAACTGGTATCTTTCAAAATGCATGCTTTACACTCCACAAATGGCACTCCAATGCGCCTGAACTAGAAGCGGCTCAGTCTTCAGCGGAGGATATAGAAGAAGAGACTTATGCAAAGCAACAGTTAGGCTCCCCACAAGGAACCATATCAAGCATTCTCGGTCTACCGTGGAACAAGGAGCGGGACACAGTTAACGTACAAGTCCCATCTGAAGAAGCGAAGTTGACGAAACGAGGAATCTTAGCTAAACTAGCAAAAATCTATGATCCCCTGGGACTCAACTCACCAGAGACACTTCGTGGTAAGCTCATCTATCGAGCTGTTTGTGATTCAAAGATAGCCTGGGATGCAGAACTATCAGGTGACATAGCGAAGTCCTGGGTGAAGTGGGAGAGCGGTTTGCCACAAAGCTTTGAAGTACCGAGACCGCTTACCGTTCATCGACAGGAGATTGAAAGGATTGAGCTACATTCCTTTGGAGATGCCAGCACAAAGGAAGTTGCAGCCTGCGTTTATGCTGTCGTTCGTCAGGCGTCCGGAACCAATCAAGGCCTAATTGCTGCAAAGTCAAGACTCTCCAAGCAAGGCCTGACTATCCCGCGGCTAGAACTCGTAGCAGGTCATAAGGCCGTGAATTTGATAACCAACGTCAGAGAGG